TGAATACAAACTAGAAGCCTGCAGTTTTCCAGTAGCCCTCAAAGCGTATTCACTTTATAGCCCTTAATCCTTTAATTCTGGAAAAACGTGGGCAATTTTTATTTATTATAAATGTTATATCACTGTCTTCGATAAAGTTTTGTTTATCCATTTATGGTGTTTTTTTTTATTTTGGGGGTATTTTTGATTTGATTTACTTCAAAAAGTACCATATTTTCTATGTAAATTATGCTTATTTTTAGGTTTTATTTTTTTAATTTTTTTTTTAACTACATTAAAATATCATTCCAATAAGTTATTAGAGCTTAATTGACTTTGCCGTCACCTGGTGTCTTATTTTGGCTTATTTTAGAATGCTCTAAATTAAAGTTTCCCCATTCATGTCTATGGGTGCCCATTTTTGACCCAAATACAAGATTAAGATGTTTTTTTTTTTTTTTTTTATCCATTCAACATTATAGAATTAAGTAAAAAAAAATTGTGTGTGTTCAGGAGGCAAACTTAGGAAAAGTAGCCAAGTCGTGAACCGCTCAGATCAAGGGAAGTATTTTTAAAAAATAAATCAAAACTTTTTGCCCACATTTTTCAGAATACGGTTTTAGGGTTAAACTCTAAGTCGAATGAATGAGTTGCCAATATAATGTCCTCAAATGCACTATAAAAAGTTGAAAATAAAAACTGCATTTATCAATAACAGAAAAAAAACATTTGGTAGATTTTCAAACTTGCAAAAGTGTGACTAAAAACACAATTAACGCACAATGCTAATCCTCTTAAAGTGGTCCAATTCTTGCCTAGCTGCTATCACTAGAATGAAATGAAATTAAATGTTTGCAAATTATTGAATTCGTTTGTAGAGCAAAAACCATTCCAACATATCTTACTAAGAACAGTGGCCTTATAAACCCCTCCGAGATCAAGCCAGAGGCGACAGTGGCGAGGAAATCAATCAATCAATCTCCTAAGAGGGAATTTCTAATCAGTTCCCGCTATAATTGCTCTTTTCCCCTCTAAATCTCAACTCTCAAAGTTGTGTCTCCTGAAGCAGTGCTAACCTTTGAAAAGCAGCAGTCTCTGAACTCACTGCACTGACATTTCCCACAACAAACTGCTCTGCGGAGGCCTATAGCCGCTCTGACATTCAGTGTGTGTGTGTGTGTGTGTGTTATGTGGGCCATATGGCGCTCTATAGCACTCTGAAGAAGGGGACGAGCTGTTTAAATGCTGTCAGACACACTCACGCACCCCTGAGCACTTCCCACGTGTGGAGTATCCGGACTGCTACACAAGAAGGTGACACGCCTGGGAGAATCACACAGCGAAGGCTTTTTCATCAAAGTCGTAACATTTGACCTCTGACCCTTTTAATGCTCCTGTGAGATAAACCCGCCACCTCTGCCAACATTTAATCTCTGAGCTCTCCTCTTCCTCTAACACGCGTAACGCCGGCCTAATATAGCATCGGAATGCCACGGTGAAGACACATCCGACAAATTTCAAGTCATGACACTTTCGCAAAAAAATAAATAAAATAAAATTAGCCTATTTTATGGCTCAGTTTCTTGCCTGTCATATTTGAGATATACTACCCTAACGAAAGCCATCTTTAAAGGGATAGTTCACATTGAAATTAATTTTTGGTATGTTTTAGCTTACCTCAAGGGTATCCAAGATGTAGTTGTCTTTGTTTCCACAGAATTTTCAATTTTGATATTTTTAGGTCAAACCGTTCTTGTCTGTCAGTCATATAATGCAGGTCACACGACCTGCATTTCGTGTCTTAGGCCATCAATGTGTACTTACATTTACGAGTCATTAAATCATGTTTAATTTGGACTGCTCTGTGCATGCTCTTTGAGGTGGTGACCATAGACCTCCATTATATGACTGACAGACAAGAACGGTTTGACCTAAAAGTGAACTATCCCTTTCATAATTCCATACTATTTTTCTTCATAGTAAAATGGTAGTGACACAAAGGAAATCCCATGCATGGGATTTTTATTTATTTATTTTTTGCGTGCTCATCCGTTACAATCGAACCACTTTACTTTTTGTTTATCGACAATTTTTATTTTACTAAAGAGGCTATAGTTTCTCGCAAGCACGCAAAATGTGTCTCATGTACACACGGAAGTCTGTTAAAGTTCGCAAAAGTTTTAAAAACATAAGCTGGAATAAATTATAAACGGAAAACTCAAACTTAAAAATGTAAATGTAAATTAGAAATGTCACTTACCTTGGTAAGTACAATAATACGGAAGCGTATTACATTCACTTGTGGAAACAAAATCTACTCTGTTAACATGTTAATTATCTCTAGAATTATAATTAGAATTATGAAATATATTTTTCTTAAAAAAAAATCACTCTGTTTTTATGAATTAATGAGTTACTCCTTATTTTTGAGATAATCAAGTCATTAATTCAGAAAAACAGAGCAAAAACTTTTTTCCATGAAAAATTCTCGTAATTCTGAGATAATTAATTCGTTAATTCAGAAAAAGAGAGCAAAAACTTTTTTCCATGAAATATGATCTCATAATTCTGAGATAATTAATTCAGAAAAATTCTTCAAGTGAATGCAATACGCTTCCGTACAATAACTAACTACTGTAAGTCACAAAGTGTAACCAAAGCCTATGAACTACTTAAAAACAACAGAACAAAACAAAATTACTAAAAAATAAAAACCGTAACCATAAAAATACAATTCTTTTGCATAAAATACAATGAAATTGGTTCATTTTCTGACTGAATCAGTGTTTTGAATCAATCACTTAACTGATAGATTCAAAGACTCACTCATAAAGAGAGTCACTTGTTTTGTTCTTCAATGAATCAGTGTTTTGAACAAATTGGATGATTGAAAGATTTTATGACTCTTAAAAACCGTAACCATATAAATAAAAGCAAATTCAAAATATGAATAAATACTTGGCCTGTTGTTGCTTTGACATTATATTATATTTGATAGTTATATACATACAGTAGTATACACATGGTAAATCACCTCTGGATCACAGTATATTCTTATGATTAAAAGAAATGCTAGTTTACATATCCCTGGATTACATATTACAAGATCAAAGACGCACCAGGATGAGGTATGAGGAAATCCACCACAGCTCAGAAACGCTCAGACGATGTTTTATGAATCAAAGAACACAGAAACCTGCCGTGTAATGAAGTACATGTAGGCTTGTCGAAAGACTCCTCATTAATTAGTCAATGTCGTTTGAGCTCTTAAAGCATTTGAGTGCAGGAAGAAGCCTCAACTGACATTAATCTTAAATGAGTATGTTCCAAATACTGATCTGAGACCTGGCCTGGGTGTCTTTGATATAGTTTTAAGTATACACATGGGTCAACCTCTGGAGACAAGACAGAGTGTAGTGTGATGAAGTCCACCTGAAGATTACTGTGACATGTCATCACTGCCATAAATCCAGCATCATGTCTTTTTGCTCTGTTCACACCGCAAGTCAAGTGCCAATGCTCATTTTCTGCTCAAATTCTATTCAATTGTTTTCGTGAGGTTGTTCATATGGTTTTTAAAATGTGACCCATTTCAAAAACAGTGATCAAAACTAAAGACACTAAAAAAGCTCATTTTTTGCAATATGTATATGCTAAAATCAATGAAAAATCAAAAAGTGTATTAAAATATATTATGTTGCCATTAAATTAAACTTAGTACTCAACATTTAATTCATTATTGTATAATTCATTCTTCCTGATTATACAGTATATAATTATTTAAAAATGAAACAATTTAATGAGATAGTTCACTTTAAAATTTATTTTTGATATGTTTTAGCTTAGGTGTCTTTGTTTCCGCAGTAGTTTCAATTTTGATATTTTTAGGTCAAACCGTTCTTGTCTGTCAGTCATATAATGGAGGTCTATGGTCACCACCTCAAAGAGCATGCACAGAGAAGTCCAAATTAAACATGATTTAATGACTCGTAAATGTAAGTACACATTGATGGCCTAAGATACCAAACAAGCATCCAAGTGATCTGAGGGCACGGGAAGTGATCTCTCGCGTGGTTGCGGAAAAAATGCACCGTTGTCTGTTAATATATCGAAATCGTCTTCCATTGCGATTTCCTGCATATCTAAATATGTTTAGATCTTCACAGTGAAAGGTAATACTTCCGAAATCTATGTGTAAACAATGAGTTCACTTCCGGCAAGAGATCACTTCCGGCATGCTCGCGCATACAGAAGCCCCCACACTCAGAGTACTTGGACGTGGCTGTGTTTACATGAGGTAAAAAAATATATAAATACTGTTTGTTTTCTCACACAAACCGCTCGTTTCGTGTCTTAGGCCATCATCATATACTTACATTTACGAGTCATTAAATCATGTTTTATTTGGACTTCGTGGTGCATACTCTTTGAGGTGGTGACCATAGACCTCCATTATATGATGGACAAGAACGGTTTGACCTAAAAATATCAAAATTGAAACTAAAACACTAAAACATATCAAAAATTAATTTCAAAGTGAACTATCCCTTTAAAATGAACAACTGTAGTTATATTGTATATACTTATACTTTTACTGCATTCTAAATTGTCTGCTTCAAAAAACATGAACATGTTGTATGTTAACACCCACTAAGTCAAAATGTCTTTCACAAGACTGTGGTGTTTTTAAGACCTTCTCTGCTACACAGTGACAACTGACCCTGCCATACTACATTAAATGTTTCCTTGCAGAGAATATTGTGAGATCAAGGAGTGATTCATTAGCGAGAAGGCCCGCTTCTCTCTTTTGGGCTTTCAAAGCTGCCCCCTACATTAGCCTGAACGATTTCCAATGCAGCAAATCTCCAAGTCCAGCTCATGCGGACCTACACAAACTCTTTGGTTCGATACAGAGAGGTGAGCACTGACCTACATTGTGAATAAGCTCTCGCGTTCAGATACACACACAAAGGCACTCTGAGATGCCCTTTATTCTGAAGACAAAACACACACAAACTTACTTCAGCGCCTGATTGCTGTAGTTGTTGTCATACGAGTCATATCCCTGGTCATCGTAGGCCGTTCCATATCCATCATCGTATTCCTACCGGAAAGAAAATATATGTTGTAAATATCCAGATTTTATTTGTTTGCAATATAAAGCTTTTTTAAAACAACAGAACAAAATTTGAGGTGTTTTGTTCTAGAAAAAAAAAACATTTGTTGTGAATAATTCTGTTTTAGTTTTAGTTGAATAAGTTATTCAATGATTCATTCAGAAACACAGTAACTTGTCAGATTTCAGACTATTCAGATTTTTTAAATGAGTCAAATGGTTGACTGAATTATTCAAAGACTTTGTTTATTAATTAATCAGAGTTTTGAACTAATTGGTCGATTAAAATATTACATGACTCACTGGTTTTGTTCATGAATAAATCAGTTGACTGTGAGATTCAAAGTCTCACTCATAATCTATATGTAGAGTGTCACCTTTTTTGAAGATGAATAAATATGTTTCGAAGCAACTGGTTGACTCCATGACTCACTCATTAAGACAGTAAATAGCTTCATTCCTTTTTGTTACAATTGCATAAAATACAAAGAAATGTGTTCATTTTCTGAATGAATCAGTGTTTTGAATCAATCACTTAACTGATAGATTCAAAGACTCACTCATAAAGAGAGTCACTTGTTTAGTTCGTGAATGAATCAGTGTTTTGAACAAATTGGTTGACTGAAAGATTTTATGACTCGAAAGATTCATAAAGACAGTAAATAGTTTCTATGCTTTGAACGAATTGGTTGAATTAATGATTCAATGACTTTTTCACAATAGTTTTCAGTCAGTATTTCTCAACAACTTTTAAGACTTAATTTCCGTAGATTTCAGTTCAGAAATGGTGTTTAAAAGAGCAAGAAAATCCTGATTTGCTTGATATGAACACTTGAAGAGATAAACGCATGTATAATGCAGCACTGCAGGCCCGAGTCTGGAGCGGCGAACAGTCTCCACAGGACATGCTGCATTTCATGAGGGTCAAGAGATCTGCTCTAATGATGAAGCATTTCGAGCCGTCCTGGATCCACACACACTCCCTCACACACTCCCAAACTCTGCTTAGAGGTTAATCTACTCTGCTGAACCCCAGTCGACATTAATACTCCATATCTAGAGCAGAAATAGCAGAGAGCCACGCATGAAAACTGAAAAGCAGCTCTTCACTTAAAATGAAAGGTTGTGAAAGTGCTTCATTAAGTCGAGGGGCTGATATGGTTTTGACACTGTAATTAACATCGCATAATAACCATTTAAGAGTTGATAATGAAACTTCATGGGGGTTAATATCTAATGTAGCTATTATTGTGACATATCGCAGATTGCTTTGTGGCCTGTTGTCAGATGTGGCAAAGCCCTGTTTGAAATGTTTATGAAGACGAATGAAGTGTCAGGAGAGGTCATAAGAACAAGCTGGAAATGGAGTTGTGTCACAGACTTTGCACCTTTTTTGCCATGCCAATTGTGGGGGAAAACTTGCTATAAATAGATTGAAATATTGTCAAATATGTTAAAGAGAGCTGAGAGAACCCCATTATTAAGTGTTTACATACATAAGACGATCATACACAATTAAGCTTAAAGTCATGTAAATGCATGCAAACATTATCAGATAAATTAACAATATATATATACACACATATATATATATATATATATATAGTATATATATATATACATATACATATATATATATATATACTGTATATAGGGCTGTCAAACGATTAATCGCGATTGTACCCAAAATAAAAGTTTGTACTTACATAATAAATGTGAGTACACTGTGTATAATTCTTTTAAATATATATATATATATACATACACACACACATACTTGTATATATTTAAGAAATATTTTCATGTATATACTGTATATAGATTTATAAATAATTTATATTATATATAAATATTTTATTAATAAATAATATTTTTTTCTTAAATTTTTCTCAAACTTTTATTTTTGGATGCGATTAATAGTAATTAATCGCTTGACCGCCCTAATATACATATTTATATGAAGATTTTAGTCTCTTATACTCACCTAGGCTTTTATTTGATAAAAAAAACTGTAATAATGTGAAATACTATTACAATTTAAAAACACTGAATAAAATAAAATGAATTTTCAGCATCATTACTCCAGTCTTCACTCCTCAGTGTCACATGATCCTTCAGAAATTATTATAATATGATGATTTGCGGCTCAGGAAACATTTCAATCTATTTCTTTAAAAACTTCTCAATGGTATAGTGTACATGTAACTGGTCTAATTGTAATCAATATTTTGCATGTTTTCGTAATTTTTCATGAATAACTTTTGCCTCTGAAACAAGTTAGCTTTGCAGATGACATCATCAAGCCCCTCCCCTCGAACCACCTGCAGTTTTCACCATCCAATCAACTTCCTGATGCCTAAAATCAAGTCCGCGTTAAATTTCGTTTGAGTGTTACGTTTCGTTCAGAAATATGCCACATAGCAGATTACGAATGTTGATTTCAAGCACAACTCGGCGCACCTACATTGTCAAATTCTCTAAAATATTCTCACAGAAGTTAAACATCAAAGCCTAGTCCTGCTCTTCTCCTGCTAATTTAGGATAAACGTCCTCGGCAAAAAGGCTCCGACCCTTTGTGACTGCTCCAACACATCCGGTCCCAGCTCAGTTCCAAATCCATCTGCCCTCAATTCACATTCGCAAAATCCTCCTCAACTCCGAAAACAAAGACAAAACCGCTCTCATCACACACCCCGCAGTCTTAGAGAGGCATTACTGTCCGATCAGAGGCCCGCCGCTGCCAAAGCACACTATTCACAGTTTCATCTTTAATCCACAAGCAAAGTGACATTTAAACAGACTTTTATAATGAAGTTTACTTGCACAAAATAAAGAGAGAAGTTTCGCTTTTGATGGCATTAGCATTGGCAAACAGACTCCATTATCATAATAATTTAGATTTATTATTTAGGGAGACACTTTTTAATTTCACGCAGAGTACATTTAAGAAGGGGGTTCTCAACTGGTTTGACCGGGAATCACATTTTAACACTAGGAGTGCATACTACAACGACACCAAGTCCATGCGCCTGCGTACAACCTTCACTGCCAAGCAGACTTTTGCGTTTGATTTCCACTCTGGAGGGTGGTTTCACTTTTTTTCGTTTTTAAACGGTTAGTTCACCCAAAAATGAAAATTCTGTCAGTATTTACTCACCCTCATGTTGTTCCAAACCCCGTAAGACCTTCGTTCATCTTCGGAACACAATTTAAGATATTTAAGATATTAAGATCGCTCCTGCATACTAGTCCATAGGCTTCTTGAGGGAATGACTCTTGCTGGCATCGAAAAGTCATTAAAGACATCGTTAAAAGTGACTTCAATTTGAACTTTATCAAACGACGAGAACACTTTTTGTACGCAAAAACAAACAAAAATAACGACTTTATTTCAACTATTCACTTCCTTCTCCATGAGCCTGTAAGTCAGTTAACGTAGTGTGATTGCGTAGAGCTACGTCACACGAAGGCTCACTATTGGCCGACGCTGGTCATGTGTGTGATGCGTGTGACGTACAATAACAGAAGCTTACGCTATTAAACTAGTAATCTGACTCGAAACAGAGGGAGAAATAAACGAATAGTTGAAATAAAGTCGCTATTTTTGGTTTTTTGCGCACAAAAGTGTTCTCGTCGTTTGATAAACTTAAGATTGAGCCCCTGTAGTCACTTGGACTATTTTTTTTTTTTTTAATAAGTATTTTTATTTTTTTTTATATTATTTTAAATTTTACAAAAAAGCAAAAGAAAAAAAAATACATTTAGATGTATACAACTCAGTGAATGATAATATCAGCAGAAACAACAGAATGAATAGTTATTAATATCATCCACCGTTAATAACAATAATATAGAATTAAAATAGGAAAAAATTAAAATAAAATAAAAATAAATAAAAAAACTAATAAAAAGGGATCAACTGATAAATAAGAGCAACCAGGACATATACGGTTTCAGTAAGGGAGCACAATAAAAAATTGAGTGGAGGGCAGAGCAGACGTTACTGATCAGAGTCTGCGTTGAACGATGTCCTTTAATGACTTTTCGCGGCCAGCAAGTGTCATTCCCTCAAGAAGCCTATGGACTAGTATGCAGGAGTGATCTTAATATCTTAAATATCTTAATTTGTGTTCCGAAGATGAACGAAGGTCTTACGGGGTTGGAACAACATGAGGGTGAGTAAATACTGACAGAATTTTCATTTTTGGGTGAACTAACCCTTTAAGCCTCAAAAACGCCGTCGCCGTGTAAACGAAAGGCACATCCGATAAAATATTTTTACGTTTACACCCGGAATTGTTCTCGTGTAAACGGGGCCTAAACACAACCCGGACACACCCTTCCCCTTCCACTAATCATTTCATGTCCATCAATAAAAACGGCCTCAACCGGCCTCTTCTTAAAATGAATTTGATGAAAGGATATGAGAATTGATCCCCCTGGAAAACCTGGAGCTCCACAATGTTTCACAGGGATTTCAGTGCCTCTCCATAGGTCACCTCTGCCAGGCTGATGTCTAGAGACCTACTACTCGCTTACTGGCAAATAACAGCAGCTCAGATATTTGATGAGAAGCCAAACACTTTAATTCCCTTCTTTATCCAAAAGGAAAAGGGTCGAAATCAATGCAAAACGGCGGTATTCAGCATTAGGACCTTTAAATAAAAACGCTCAACGGTGAGCAACTCATCTTCCTTCCAAGCTGAAACAAGACTAGACTCCCTCAGCTATTTATAACTGAAGATATTTCCATTGTGCCATCTCGGCTGACAGTGATCTCTATCTGCAGTACTATGAATATATCATAAGGTAAAAAAAAATCATATTCCGGAGAGCGAAACTCTGTTACCTTGGCAGATTAGTTATGCATGGCTTTGCACACTGATCAAATAAATTAGTCTCGTTGAACGTGAAAACAAAACCAGGTCATGTGTGTGAGAGAGAAAGAGAGACATTAGACTTTCCTTGAAGAACGGAAAAATCTCATTTCCAAGTCGCTGTAAAGAAGTTGAAAGCTGCTGACAGTCCCTGTGCCATTTTGATCGGCTCACGTTTGATCAAATCTGTCTACGTCGCACGAGCCGCTGGAATTAGACGTGTACACATCACACGCCAAGCAGGGAGAAACTGAAAACTCTGTTCGCACGACGCACGGCATGTCAGATCTTTTCAAATTTGGTTGTTCTTACAATGTCTCAAATTGTATGAAAGAGGAGAGCAGATCTCTGCTGTTGCAGTTGCGACGGGAGACTGATGGCAGATTGTTTGGTAAACTCGCTAAGATGAAGCCGTCGTTGAAGAGTCGCGAGCATTTGATGACGTGCGTGGCATCTCTTTCACGATGGATCAAGCTCACGCCGCATGTGAAGTGAGCATTCTTTCAGGTTTGGGGTTTATTAGAAAATAAAATCTCCTTACAATGTCATTGACAGTGAAGAATGGCTGATTTATACATTGTAACCAATTCAACAATTTCAATGCATTTAACTTAACTAACGTGACTTAAAGGATTAGTTCACTTTTGAAAAAACTTTTGCTGATAATTTACTCACCCCCATGTCATCCAAGATGTCCATGTCTTTCTTTCCTCAGTCGAAAAGAAATTAAGGTTTTTGATGAAAACATTCCAGGATTTTTCTCCATATAATGGACTTCAATGGGAACCAGACGGTCCGAGGTCCAAAAGACAGTTTATAACAGTTTCAGATGCAGCTTCAAATGTCTTTAAACGACACCAGACGATGAATAAGGGTCTTATCGTGCGAAACGATCGGTTATTTCAAAGCTTATTCCAAAAATGTAACTTTTCTAAGGACAAATGCTAGCATTGCTCTATTCTGTGAGGCGCGTTTGTAACGTCACGTAATACGTAATTACGTTCAAAAGGTCACGGGTGACGTAGCCGGAAGTACAGAGTCAGAGTGTTTAAAAGTTGAACGCATAGGTTGAACGTGCAAACTAACTCAAACGCCGTTTACAAAAAAGGAATTAAAAGGTAAAACAACGATGTCGGACGATTTTGATTCTGTACTTCCGGCTACGTCGCCCGTGACCTTTTGAACGTAATTACGTAATACGTGACGTTACAAACGCGCCTCACAGAATAGAGCAATGCTAGCATTTGTCCTTAGAAAAGTTACATTTTTGGAATAAGCTTTGAAATAATCGATCGTTTCGCATGATAAGACCCTTATTCATCGTCTGGTGTCGTTTAAAGACATTTGAAGCTGTATCTGAAACTGTTATTAACTGTCTTTTGGACCTCGGACTGTCTGGTTCCCATGTAAGTCCATTATATGGAGAAAAATCCTGGAATGTTTTCATCAAAAACCTTAATTTCTTTTCGACTGAGGAAAGAAAGACATGGACATCTTGGATGACATGGGGGTGAGTAAATTATCAGCAAAAATTTTTCAAAAGTGAACTAATCCTTTAAGTGACGTCATTTAGCAAATATAAGCAAATGAGCAAATGAAAAAAGTATACTGCATATGTCTAAGTGAATAAAAAGATCTATATGGAATCAAAAGCTGTTTCAAATAAAAAGGACAATCAAAATAAACAGAAACTAATTAAATTGTCTTCTATATTTACTTCAATTTATGATAACGATGAGTACGCTATGGACACAAATCTGCACAACTAAATATAAACAACATTAGGAGGCTTAAAACAAATGTCAAGGGTATTCTGATAAACAATACTGGCAATATTAACTGAGAAACAATTATTTTCATGACTTGAAATGTAAGACAATTCATTAAGCGATAAATTAAACCCAAACAACATGTTCTATTAATAATATAATCAATATAAGGCTTAAAACTAAGTTCAGGGTCAATCCAAAGACTAACGTATTTAAATGAATCATAATCAAACATAATAATCAAATCAAAAGGATAGCAATGTCAACGGGGGACACCAAACATCATACAACAAGAGGACATTTAAAATCAGACTTATAACATCTGCATACCGATGTACATTAATATTCACAAGCTTTTCTGTGGCATCACAAGTCTCCATACCTGTCCACCCCAGAAAAGTTGTGAACAAAGTGAAGCTCTTGAGTTGGTTGATATACGTTTACCCGGTTGTTGCATCAGCAGAAGAGGTTTCAAAGGTTTCTGTAACGGCAGCGGATGACCTGTTTTCAATCTCACCTGCGCACGCTCTAATTTTGAGTACGCGATTGACATTGCGGCCGCGATCCGTGGCCCGTGAGAGTATGGATCTTTATTCAAGCTGCCAGCTGGGGTCTCAGTGGTGAGTCTATCAGAGCGCTGTTGGCCGGAGCTCAGGTAAGCGGTGTTCTGGAGAGAGCTCTATTAGAGCAGAGTAAAGCCATGTAATCACATTACATTTGCCTCCTTCAGCCCGGTGCCAGAAACGCAAAGCCACATTAGAGACACGGAGAGACCCAGACAAACTCAATCATGTTTAGCCTCTCTCTTGCGCACACACAGACATGATTGTACTTATCTCAATGAGGGTAAAGACTTCTATTTTTTTTTTAGATATTAAAGATAATTATTATAACTATAGACTAACACCGTGTCCAAACTACACGCGACGCGATAAAATTCCAGCGACAGCAAGTGTGTCTGTCCACACTAGACGCGACGCGACTGTGTGACGCCACACATAAAAAAAAAACGCTATCTCACGACCAATTCGTACGAATTCGTTCAAAAAGGGGCTAATTCGTACGACCTCACCTGTACGAATTCGTACGATTTGTCTAAACCCACGTGATGGGTAGGTTTAAGGGCGGGGTCAGGGGTAGGTCATTCGTACGAATTCATACGAATTGCCCAATTCGTTAGATATGTACAATTTAGCAAAATTCTTACTAATTCGTACGAGTGAGGTCGTACGAATTGTTACAAATTAGCCACCTCGTAAAATTCGTACAAATTCCCGTGAGATCGGGTTGAAAAAACACATTGTTAGTGGTGCGTGACTTTTACATGCATACATACATTTCAGTATTTAACGCAGTCACTCCCGTTAGCCACTGTGGCGGGTTGAATTTTATATATAATAACAATTTTTCAATTGTAGTCTTTTTAAAAGGCAAGTGCAATGTAGAGATGTTTCGAAACATCATGACTTTGCGTAAACATACACGTCACTTTCAAGTCAAGTGGCGTGTTATCTATACGCATTTTTAGCAATCCGCGTGTCCACGCAGAAACGAACCGCCATCTTTTGCATGTATGTTTACGCCGTTAAATGTCCGAGTGATTCCGCGTTTATGTACATGCCGTTAAATGTCCGAGCGAATCAAAGCAAAATGTAGATCTACATCTCGGGAGCGATATTTAGGGACGGGGTTGGGGTTGGGGTTATTTATATATACAGTAACGAAACGTTAAGTCGACGGCGTTCATAAACACGCTGAAAAGCGATTATGCGTGTTGATAGCATGCCAAAAATGGAAATACGAATTGGCGTGTCATACATACGCCATTTCATGACATCATTCCGAACAGCGAGTTGACACAAACCCGCCTCCACTCACTCACTGGTTTCATTTGCTCCGGATGAATATTGTTGGTGTTACATGGATTGAATTTCGCTCAAGGACAGGACTCATTCTCTCAGATTTTGTGCTCACACCCAAAGTGCGCGTACATAAAGCCGCCTCTCAGTCTTTTTCGCTGATTATTGAACTTAAACAGTCAAACACACAGTAAGAATTCACGTAACACTTATGTTTTAGGTGAACGTAAACAGTTGAGAAAGAAAACGAATGTGTAGCAGTAATGTATCCGTGCTTTGGGTCTTAAAGTGACAGCAGCCTAAAATATCTACTGCCAAATGCGATAATATTAAAAATATCTCAATGACAGTTTTCCCCATGGTATCAATGTCAAAATTCTGAGTGGCTAGTAACTTTGGAAAACCACTAGCTGCAGTGGCTATATACACAAAATAAATATCCAAAGGCCAGAATATAGTACAGACTTCAGGATGGACTCATTTGACTTGGTCCAGTAGGCAAACATACAGAACAGCAACAGTGTTTGTGGGTCACGAGAACACACACGTTACATCAGACATAACGAGAACATCGACACACACATGCACTCCAGCCTGAATGAGAGACAGGCAGCTCCCTAGGTGAGTGTTCTGGTAGAACAGACACAATCGGCTGAGAGACAGGTTGTTAGAAGATAAGACCTGCCCTTAGAGGCCACAAGACCTCAGCACATACTTTAACAAGTTAACTACTTGAGGACCTACTATAGACCTTTACTGCTTAAAACACAGCTAAACTAACAAAATAAATTGACGAAATGATAACACAACACACATTACCTGATAAAGATCTAAAATTTGACACTCACGGACGGCTTATCTGGCTAACTCCATCACACTTGCTCATCTCTGCTCCAGTCGCTGGGTTTTCTGGAATATTTCATAGTTTCACAGATCAGAAAAAGAGCTTCGCGTCTGCCAAGAGTGGCTTCACTCTCTCGAAATAGTGAACACCTAACAAATATGAGCATGCAATTTACAGCGCATCAACATTATGAAGGGATATTTTTTTTGCATTCTTGCCATTTTTATCCATAGTATTGACAGAGAGAAGTAAATCACTGGGAGAAGAAAAAAAGGGAAGTGACATGAGCCGAATTTCAACTTACACAGCCTACATGAGAAAGTAAGACATGTTTGAAGGTCAACATATTTTGTTGATCCTGGAACAACATTCCCATCTGAGAATTCAGGCCAAACCAACATTGGAACAACAACAGCACTACTGAACTCAAAGATTGATGAGCGATTTTCACTCTATCCGTCTCACTTTTAAAACCATTCATAAAACCCAAACTATTCAGGTGGTTTAAAGCAGCTCATGAAGAACATCTTCTGCTGGACTAATACACTTGCTTTGGTCACACAGAACTAAACTACACTACTGTCAACTGCAATTACCTCAAGGCTTCTGCCATGGTGATCAAACCGAGAGAGGATGGAAGCCATAAACGGCGAGCTATCATGGGGCTCTGGTCATATTTGCATAAACAGAACTGATTTATGGGTATTCGGGTAGTCAGACTGAAACTATGAGGTGGAAGTATGCATGACATTATCCGTTTAATGGAATTTCATGCTCTGTCTCGCGCTTGTTATATGATAAGAAATGTTGCTCTCATTAGATATAATACTCACTATGAAGTTTTTTTGTAAAAGTGCCAATCACACTAAACTGCACAATAGTTCACAAATAAATGTGAGCCATTTACACGTCTCAAAAGTATCGACATGCAACATGGCATTTACAATTTACATCATTTCAAGGCAAACCATTTGGAATTTATTTTCCTCACTCAGTTAAAAGATACAAAATGACTTGTGTGATTCACAACTCTCCTAATTCACTGTTTCTGATGGAAATATCATATAAAGAAGCCTTAAAGGGATACTCCACTTTTTTTTGGAAATAGGCTCATTTTACAACTCCCTCAGAGTTAAACAGTTGAGTTTTACCGTTTTTGAATCAATTCAGCCGATTTTCTGATATTTAGAAGAATATCAGTAACCAGACCGTTTCTGGTCTCATTGACTTCCATAGTAGGAAAAATATATACTATGTTAGTCAATGAGACCAGAAACTGTCTGGTTACAGATCTGACCATTGATCTGACACAGTGACTATCGTAACAGACAAAAAAAAAAAAAAAACAACAACAACATGTAATCTAAACCAGGCATAAAACAAATTTGTATGTATATTTTTTATTTGAAAATCTAATTTTAATTTATTTGCGAATTTCGTAATTTTATTGAAACTCCTCACATTTATTTGTGGATCTTAATCTATTTATTTGGAATAACGCAACAATTCTAACCCCAAGTCCTCCTCTAGCACCTTGTCAAAGAAGATTTGTTTTTACTGCAGCTTAAAAAATATAGATGCATCAAGAATCAGATTGTCACTCTGAATCAAAACCCAATCGAATCTTGACTTCCTTTGACTTTCTCTTCACACTTTCAACAAAAAGTGTCAAACACCTACTAAAAACAGAGACTTTTTAAAGTTGAAGTTGAATATGATTTGGAAGTGTCGTCACTTACTCAGTAGCAACCCTCACATCGGTCTGCATGTCACTAAAGTACGACAGCGTGATACAAAACGGCGTGGACAGAATTAAACGGCTCAAATCCGAGGAGCCCAGAGACGAACGCATATGTCCCGCCATGTTGTTATGAAGCAAACCCATGATTTGTGTTGGTTCGAGAAACATCATGCTGGACACAGGCATTCATAACACAACACTGGTGACAATGGAAGTAATTTCAGCACTCGACCAAAGCAGAGATGGTATCGCAACCGGCTCAGTAATTATGAGGCTAAACCAAAGTGACAAGCGGTTTTGATTGTGGAAACAGAGGTTCTGAGATACAGACTGCATAATGGTATGATTGCAACCCTCCGCAGAGAGTGACTCGGGTATCAGAGCGGCCCTTGCGAGGAAACAACCGGCCGATGAAATTACTTCATATTAATGACTCACACAGATAAATGAACATAAATTAATTCAAATGTGGATTCGCAAGCCGGTTGTTCCCGAAGGAGGGCTCAGTGTCCAGTGTATATGGATCAGGTTCGTCCTCCTTCGAATCACAATCTGTAAGTATTATTAATAATGTTTGCCGCTATGTTTTTTGTAGCATTCACAATATAGTTATATAGCGCAGCGGGGTAAAGTTAGTTTTGTTTTTGATATTCACCAGACATTCATTAAAAAATGGCAATTACCTCTTAAACGACTTAGCCAAATATGACTTCGCTCTATATAATAAGCACTGGCCTTCAAAAGCCGCCGCAATGTGAGTTTCGCCATGAAAGCTTGCTCTTGATGGATACGCGAGTAAGGGACCGGGTGGAAAGTGCACTTTTTCTAACACGTTTGTTCAAACACTATATACAATTTTCAACACTTGACAAGCTATAATCCTGGTTATGGGCGTCCCATTTCCGACAATATCTGCCTACGGTGTACCAATAACCACTGACTGGGTCATGTGACCAATCGCCGCAGATTCGCGTCACTCAAAGGAGGTGTTTGGGAAAATGAATCGTCGAACGAATCATTTGGGAGTCGTTGAGCAAATCGGATACAAATAAATGCATATTATAAGACGAATAAAGTGTTTTTCATCCTTGCATTCACGTTAAACTGTTTTTGGGAACTCCCAAAACAAAAATATGAACATTTCAAATGCTATGATAAGGGCTCTTTAAGCATTTGCCTATTTAAATCCAAACAGTGGCTTAATATACTGTATAAAACTTAATAAACTTAATATATTTCCTTCTCAAATTATTATTAACTGGCATTAATAGGCCTGAATTTGGAAATGCAATAGATGAAGAATGAATGCTGAAACAAATAGTATAAAGTAGCATTTTGAAAGCCAACAAAAATCGTATCATATTGTAAATCTTCAAGACACACTTTTCTGTTCAACCCCGAAACACTGATGTAATATCCAACAATGTGGGTGCAAAAAGACACTTTTGAGTCTAAAGCTGTCACAATAGATACATGAAAACCAATGACAACACCAGCACAATGTGATCAACACAGCCAAAGCTTAGGCTTACATAAAAACATGGAGGCTTCTCAATACAGTTATTTTGATCCAAACCCCATTCCCATGGAACACACTTTGCATTTATTTTACATACAATGACAGTTCATTCTGAACACGTCTATCAAGCAACAAAAAGGACAAACACGCACTATAAAAATAGTCTATACAACTTGTAAAAATATACTCGCCTTCAACGTCTCCTTTTCTATTCCACAAAAAATCTAGGACCATAACTGTTTGAAATGGCATGAAGGTGAAAGAACAATGACAGCCTCTTCATTTATCCATCACTATTCCTCTACAAAGATGTCTTGTTAAATTCTCATGACTCGTCAAAACTCTCAGGACAGTCAAAAGGTCTTTTTTTTTCCAGTTCGCTCTTGACAAGGAACATCTAAACACTGATTCAGAGAGACAGCTTCAGATTCATCATCCCACAGATGTTTGAATCGTTCCCAGTGTTTCCGACTCCTGCACAGGCGAGTGTTTCGACGCCGTCGAAACGATGGAGAACAGCTGGCGACTGAGTCGTTTCCTCTGACCCCAGCGCCCCCTAAATAAACCTGTCAGATGCGGTTAGATACGGGCACTGCGGGGCGGCGTGCCAAATCCACCCACCTCTCCGGGCCCACCATCTGTTAAATATGCCACACGCGAGCCAGGAGACCTCTGAGACGAGCAACATCAAGAGAGGCTGGTGAAAGCCCCGATGTATTTGAACTGGTTATTTTGCAAATCTCTCTGATAAATTAAAACTCGAAGCAGAGGAAATCTACAATGGTGTCAGGAGCAGGCGGGCAAATACCGTATGACCATTTTTTTTCCCACATAATCGCAAACAAAAACAAGTAAATCAAGCAGATGAAATGATTTAGGATGTCTCCGGTAGACGACCGCATCATGAACTGTTCTATTACGACTGACAAATTAGATCAGTGTCGGAAAACATTCATTTCTGGGAGAGCTTTGGCGAGCTATTGAGTTTGTTCTATATAATTTATCCATATGAGAAATGTCAACAATAAAACACAAACTGTTGTAGGCATATAGATAACACTTTCTGTCTAGACAGAGGACTAAAATGACTGTAAAGGCACAAATAGAGTAAGAATTGTTTTCACAAACACAATTCCACGTACAAGTTTGCATACCAGTATATCAAAATTGCAGTTATTGCTCATGAAAACTAAAACAATTACAAATGACTTTTGATTTAAATAAATCAGAAATAAAATAAAATATAAAATACCAGATGACAAAGTTAAAAATTAAATACTGTAAATGTTACATTGGCAACTAACCCTAAATAAAATGTTAAATAAAAAGTACTAAAATTACAAAAAGTAAACTGAAATAAAAATAAATTAAACTTATATATAGGCTACATTTCTTTTATATACTGTGTATATATATATATATATATATATATATATATATATATTGCTTATCAAAACTCATCAAAATAAGTTTTTACTTTTTCATAAGTTATACACTGTAAAAAAAAATATTTTCATGATTTGTAATCACAACATTTTTCTTTTGTCAAATCAACTTAAATACTTTATGTAGTTCAGATAACACAATATTTTAAGTTTCTGATGATTAAATCAATCTCCTTCATTGTATTAACTCAATTTTTCCATTTCAATGAACTTAAAATTTTAAGGCAACCAGGTTACTTCATTTTTTAAGTTAAACCAACAATATTTTTTTTACAGTGTACAAGATTCAACTATAAGTTTAAGTCAGTTTAATTTAATTTAAGTTGAAATGACTTAAAGAACCAAGTCGATTGTACTTTTTTTTTACAGTGTAATGAAAATCACACTGTAAAAAAATATTGTTGGTTTAACTTAAAAAAATAAGTAACCTGGTTGCCTTAAAATTTTAAGTTCATTGAAATGGAAAAATAGAGTTAATACAATAAAGGAGATTGATTTAATCATCAGAAACTCCAAATATTATGTTATATGAACTACATAAATGATTACTAAGTTACAAATCATGAAAATATTTTTTTTTTACAGTGCAGAAATTCAATTGCATGGTAAAACGTGTAGCTTTAAAATAAGCATACATCAATGCATATTTCAAAAGTCCAATATTTCGTGCGTACTATATACCCTTTGTTAGAGTCCCTGAGGAGAGTGACGTGGATGGTTCAGTTACTTACGTATTCACCGTAGGTCTCCTGCACGGTTGGAGGAGGAGGTCTGTACCCAGGTGGGGGCGGAGCTCCTCGTGCTCTCGGTGAGGGAACCCCCCTCCCTCTGCTGGACGGGACCCTGCTGGGCGGAGCTCCTCTGGGCGCCACCCCCCGGGGAACTGCAGCCTGAGGCGGAGGAACACCACCTCTACTCCTGCAGGACAAACACCTCGGCTCAATATACATCAATGGAATTCAATCAATTAAAATTTTTTGCAAGAATCATTTGTCTATGTGCAACATTAGGCTATAACAGGAACAATAATGAACAAAATAGTGTAAAAAAAAAAAAAGCCACATAAATTTGACATTTTTTACAAAAATGGACTAAATCAAACAACAATATTTACTTAAATGTTTGAATTAGTTTTATAGACAAACCTAAGTACAAGCTAAAGTACAAGCCATTTGTAATTCCCATAATTCCACAGTTTTGACGACTGTTTAAATTTTTGACTATAGTGCACACTACCGTTCAATAGTTTGGGGACTTAATTTTGTTGAAGTTTTTAAAAAGGAATTAACACTTTTATTCAGCAAGGAGGTGTTACATTGATCAAATGTGATAGTTAAGCCTTTGGCAGTGTTACAAAAATAAAACATAAAAAATAAATTACATTTCAAATAAATGCTGAGTTGAACTTTCTGTGACTCTGAAGACTAGAGCTTTGCCATCACAGGAATAAATTACATTTAAAGGAATAAATTACATTTAAAAATAATATTAAAATATTATATAGAATATTTAATTTAAAATAATATAGAATTATTTTAAAATGGCATTAATATTTCCCAATATTGCTGTTTTTACTGATCAAATATTTATTTTTGATCAAATAAATGCAGCTTTGGTGAGCATAAACAATAAAAAAAATATATTTTTTGCTACATTACTGCTGTTCTCGACAATGTACATTTGTGGGAATTTAGCACTTGCATGAAGAACACATTTAGTGCATAGAGATCGATTTTAGACTTTGGTATAAAACATACCTTGTGTAAGTTTTTGTTTTTAATGTTGATAATATATAATACGCGCAAGAATGAAATTCTTTGCAGTTCAACAAGCAAAAAAGTCATATTAAATGATGTGCAATTTAAACACAGTCTTGTCAATATTAAATGAAGGAATAAATGAATGAGTGAGGTATTTATTTCATGTTTGCTCTATTTTGCAATAAAGTAATAATCCCAACGAAAGCCACAGCTGAACTGTTGTGCGTCTCCAAATAACACATTAACATAAATTGAATTAATCAGGAGTTAATGATTCAATGATCCATTCATAAATACAGCCACTTGCTTCATTACTGAATGAATGACATTAGGACTTATCACCAATCACTTGCAGCTTTAGTTTAATATTTAAAAGTATCACTGCGTTTTGATCATCCCATAATGTCTCTATTGAACATTTTTTTTATTTAAAACATTATCTCATAACATCATTTATGCCATTATAATTGCATTCACACCACCTCTGAGCAGCATTGAACAGTTATTAACTCTTTCCCCGCCACTGACGGACATTTTACTCGTTTATGAGACCGCCATGAACGAAAATTTCTGGCTTTCCGTGTTTTCACTGTTAAAATGTAGGGGGCGCTGTTATGCATATTCTGAAAGAGTACAGAATCAAAACACAGGCGAAGAAGAAGCAGAAACAAGTGATAGCATATGTAAAATAACGTGAACAACAGCATATAAATCAAATCTGCTTAACGTTACTTAATGATGTCAGAACGAGCTGTAGGACTGGGGTGTTGATGAACTCGATCTACTCCGTCTGTGTTTTGTTTGTTTGATCCAGTTGTAGTCAAAAATGTGTTTTGCTCAAAATGTTGCTTTTTTATGAAACTTACCCACACTCAAGTGTTAATAAAAGAAAAGAATGCAAGAAGAATGCTAGAATAAAACAGTTTTTTTGTTTAAAAGCAGTGTCTCGGTTCTTTCTATTGATGTATAGCATGTTCAGATATTCATGCAACAAAATATTGTGTGGGCCATGAAACTTTTGTGAAAAGGATAAAAAATGCTGGCATCAGCTGGCAACTTTTTTTTTAAAATACACTGGAGGGGAAATATATATAAAAAAAAAACAGAAAAAAAAAAACACACACACCTGAAAATCAATTTAAAGGGCCAAATATGGTCCCTTAATGAAAAGGTGTGAGTGCAGTGTAAGAGGAAAAGAGGAGGTGCGCAGAAGGTTGTTAAACGCCTCAGGAGGTTTGGAAAGTTTGGAAACCACTGCTCTAATGGAAGATTGCTTTAATGGTTTTATTGAATTTTCCTCTCCAACTATGATGAAAATGAGAATGATTTGAGGTAATGACATTAGTGTCAGTCCGTGTGAGAATAAATCTGCCAGTTATGCCGCATTAAACTCTCAGTGGAGTTTTAAATTATTTGCTCAATAAACAGCAGAGAAAATTCGAATGAACAAAGAAGGTGATATTAAGGAGTTAATTCGCCTTATTTACATGTTTTTCTGGCGTTTCACAGTTGTGTATGGCGTAAATGTCCTCAGCGGCCATGTTTTCATCCAAACTTATGTGCAGAATTGGAATATTGCATCAAATTTTTTTCAAATAAAGCACCATTTCCATCCAATGTGTTCAAGAGAACAGAATGGGAAATTGGCGCAAAATATCTAGCGTGGCGTAAATTGGCGCAAAATATCTAGGTCTGCTTTCGGCACTGCAAAAATGGTAGTAAACAGTCCTTATTTTGTCTTGTCAGCTCTCATAGAAATAAATAAATAGCGAGACGGTTGTTATAGCGAATACAACCCTGCGAACTTTAACACGGTCTTGAATCAGCCGAAGGGGTTTTATTTGCTGTAACAACCGCCTCGCTATATACAGTATTTCCCACTTATAACATGGCTACTTACCAAATAAATCAATCATTTTACACAAAATATGGATTTAAAAAGGAGTTTTTTCATTAAAAAAACGATTATATTACCAGAGTGAACAATTGCGTCCATAGCAACACGATCTAGCTGTTAAAACACATGAAATGGTCAAATATATGATCAACACAAAAGGCTAATGTTATATAAACTAAAAATTTAAACCAGTAAAAGGGAACAGCTTTAAATCCCCCCTCTGCAAATCAGCTAAGCCGATATTTTAATGTCAAACGTTAGGCTGTATCAAAAGGTAACTTCGCGTCTGCTGCCATGATGAGTCCATAGATATAAACAAACTGCTTCGCTGTGTCGCATATACGTCGTCACAGTCTTGCTGCCCCTCCCCGTTCTGTGATTGGTTCCCTATCTCAGGGGAAAATTTGGTTCATGGTGTCCAGGCTATAGATATCTATATAAAGGCTAGATATCTCGTCCGCGATTGGTTGGCTCATCGCGTTTGAGGGCGTGGCTTAGCCATAGGTCTATTCCATCCAGTGTTTTTATGCATTTACCCAAAATCACAATCACAGCACGTATAATCAAATCTGATCGTACCTGTGCGGCCCCGGCGCTGGTGTTCCTCTGGCTCGTGTGCTAGTTTTGCCTCTCGCAGCCGGGACTTTGGCGTCCTCTGAGCCGCCGTTCAGATATGTCAGCTCCTGTAGCTGAGCCTGTCTGATCTCATCATTATAGTCCTGTACGACACACACACACATATGGGCACTAGTTAATGAGCTGGAACGTGCAATAATGGTCCACTTGATTTTCAAGGGGAAATATACGCCCCCTGCGACCTCAAACATGCACCAACATGTGTTTTTTCCCAAGAGGAAGAATTCTGCATATAAATAGTAACATTTAATATAGCTTTTCATTAGCATAACAGATGCTACTGTGGGATGTTATATACATAAAGTCAATACTGCGCACACACTAGGGATGGGCAACGATTAATCGTGATTAATCGCATCCAAAATAAAAGTTTGTGTTTATGTAATATATGTGTGTGTGGTGTATAATTATTTTGTATATGTAAATACACACACATGCATGTATATATTTAAGAAATATTTGCATGTATATACTTTATATATATTTATACGTAATTAATATTCTGTATAAATATAAATATTTGATATATTAAGAACACATTTATGTGTTAGTATTTATATATAGAAAATAATTATACACACCACACACACATATATCATGTAAACACAAACTTTTATTTTGGATGCGATTAATCGGGAGTATGCATAGTAACTAAAATAGGATTTTCAGCAAAAAAACAAATGGTCCTGTGGACACCAGGCCTCCTTAGACAGAATGTACCGTGTAAAAATGAAACATTTTGAAACCAGTGAATATGTATTTTTGGTCTCAAGATAATACACACTGCAATTAGCAGTGTGAATTATCTTTTCATCTGTGTGCAAACGTACCGGGATTAGGAATTTTTTGATCTCCTCCAGAGCGTGACCCATTCTCGCATACGCTTCGGCTGGGGGAGCGAACACCTCAATCAGCACGTGGAGATCTTCGTTAAGGTGATTATACTTTGCCTCTCCGCTCTTTCGCAGTTCTTCTTCCTGTTAACGCAAGCGTACGGAAAAAACAAAACAAAAACATTTCTGCATTTGTACACTTTTGCCAGCACCGTCCTCTGCTTCGGGAACTAAAAATTGTGTAAATTACCTGTCGATTTGTTACTCATTAAAAAAGTGAAATGTATATATTTTTTTAAGTACAGTAGCAAAAACAGCATGTTCAAACAGTTTATGTTCGAAATTATTTAATTTGTTGTTTTTGTATAAAATTTTTTATCATTTTTGTATTTAAAGAAATTTATATTTTTTTTAAGTACAGTAGCAAAACAGCCTGTTCAAACAGTTCATGTTCGAAATTATTTAATTTTTTGTGTTTTTGTATAATTTTTTTTTTCATTTTTGTATTTAAAGAAATGTATATTTTTCAGCAAGGACGTATTAAATTGATCAAAAGTGACAGGAAATACATTTAATATGTTACAAAATATTTCTATTTCAAATAAATGAATCAAAAATCCTTCAAAAAATGTCATTTATTTTTTTAAATAGAAGATAAAGGAAGGAAAGACTCTTTTTCCGCCTTTGAATTTCCACGTTCTGGATACTAAGGGATGCAAATAAATAAACGAGCAAAATTAATAAACTGCAGTAATTATGCCATGCATATTAAATTCAATTAAAATGGAAATTCCATATGCAAATCTATTAACACTGGGAAGAGAGTGTGTGTGTGTGTGTGTGTGTGTGTGTATGTGTGTGCGTGGTGGTGGGGGGGTGTATCCAGAACTTTGCAAAGTAAAAGAGCAATTTAACAGGGACACAAAACTAAGCAAATAATTACATCAGCCCACCCGTCAGATGCACAGATGAAGCAAGGTGAGATTCCTTCATCCAAAATGTTTTTTTTTTTCCAATGGAGAGCAAAAACGTGCTGTTACGTGTGTGTGTGTGTGTGTCCTGTGCTTCCTCTGATGTAATGCAGTTAATCTGATCTTAAGACAGTCGCTTTTATGCAAATGAGATGCTAATTTCATCTGCTGTTTACTGAAAGAGTTTAGTGCAGATATGGTGTATGTGTGTGTGCGTGCAATGGCAGTAGGAATGGAACACTGTTATTTCTGTTTCACAGAACCAAGATTGTATTGTTATTGTAATGTTAGCTAGAGTAGCAGGTCAATTTTGAGTGTCATTGTTTATCTCGTTTCCGACGACTAAAACAAACTCTTGCTTGTACATACTGTACTAAATTCTCTTTTTTTGTTCTTCCTTGTGGTTCATTCAACATCTTCGCTTTAGTTTTCGCGAAGCATTATTGTGAAATGATAAAGGCCACATCCACACGAAGCCTTGCGTTCCCTATCCGATTTTTTCCCCCTCGTTCTAAACAAATATCCGACGGCGCCGTCTCAAGAAATATCTGCGTACACACGAAACCACTGAAACCGACTGAAAACGGTGTAGTATATGTATGCCAGACCAGTATGGGGCGCTGTAATTCTGCCACAGAGATACACTATACAGTGTTGTAGCACTCGAGACTCGGACTCGTCTCGGACTCGGTCTCGAGACCATATTTTAATGGTCTTGGTCTTGTCATGGACTCGTGTGCATTTGGACTCGGAATTGACTCGTACTCGAACATTTTTTTTTTTTTTTAGGACTCGGAATTATTCCCGAGTCCACTCGAGTTCAATTAAAAATATTTTTCATGATTATTAATGTGTGTTAATAAAATATTTCTTTAAATTGATTGACACGCCCAGTGATTGGTGATTTTCTAGTGCGCAACTGCGCATGACAAATTGTAATAAAATTACTTTTAACACCACCTACTATGTGGCCTTTTTACCCTAAACTGATCATATTTTTTAAACTCTAAGTAAATTCAGTAAAAAAAAAAAAAAGGATTTCTCTAAGTAAATAAAAGTAAATTAGGTAATCAACCCTCACTGGTCTCGGTCTCGACTCGGACTCGACCGTCTCTGGTCTCGAACTCGACTCGGACTCGACTCTCTCTGGTCTCAGTGTCGACTCGGACTCGACTCTCTCTGGTCTCGGTGTTGACTCGGACTCGAGTGAGGTGGTCTCGACTACAACACTGACACTATACGCGCAGAAGAAGACCTTGCGCGCTGTATACGAACCAAGCAGAAGAAGACGAAGATGGCGTGTGACGCAGATGACGTCATCGTTTCACAAAATATACGGATTGGCTGAACACACAAAACCGCAAGGGGGTCATTTTCCGATTTATCCACTTTGGGAGCCGGTTTCAAAAAATAGCGGTTTCACTCAATCAAAAAGCCGGATCCGTGCGGACGAAACGCCAATACGATAAAAACTTTAAAAAGAGACATCCACTCCTGCATTTTGTGGGCGGAGCAACGAAGAGAGGGGTGTGTTCGTGTGGGTTGGTTTTCCAGAAATCGCTTACTGCACCTTTAAGGACGTTAAAATAATGATGTTATATTTGTATGGTCTACAGCGCTGAGAAAAGTGCTCGCAAGAGCATATTTTTCATATTTATCGGTGAACACGCACATACACAGCAAGTTTTCTAAACTGCTTCCAAAAAACAACCTCTTGCAGGGTTTGGGGCGTGTATGTTTACTATCAACATCGTTTGGTAAATTCTGTGAAATTCGTTTCTGCGAATTCTAGAACATCAAAGAGAATTATGAGCTTCAAGCAAATCTCTTCTCTCTGCTGTGGGACGGCACTGCAGGAGAATCTCCAAACGGCTTAAAACCGCGCAGGTGAGCGTTCCAGATCCACACCGTCCAATTTGCGCCGTTACAATTCTCCCTCTCTCGCTTTTCTCCGTGGAGAGCTTGTTCACCAAAATCTGACAGGACCGGAGGAGAGCAGCAGTCAATAACAACACGCCCAATTAGTAGATAAAACCTTCCAGAACACCCTGAGCTCTGTAACAGCTGTCTGAAGGGAGAAGATTGCTTGTGTGAACTGGGGATATAATTGCGAGCACGCTTATACATGCACACATCAAAATCACCTGCAGTCGAGCTATTCGGAAATGGCCCAAAATCAACATCGCACACACAAATCTGTGAGAAATATGCTGGAGGGAAGTGTCAATCACTTAAAGGATACGTATCATGGAATTTCCTGACTCGTTTGAATACATTTTGCACAAAAAAAAAGTTAACCAATTATAGCGTAGGTCATTTAGAACCGTCTTCAAAGTACAGCCTGTTCTAAAAGTGTATGGAGTGAAAGACTTACAAAAAATAACACTTTCTTCTCTGAAGACTGGAGTTATGATGCTGAAAATGCAGCTTTAAATCACATTTGTGTATTAATATAGAAAATAGTTATGATAATATTTCACAATATGAATGTTTTATTGCATTTTTGTTTTAATAAATGCAGCCGTGGTGAGCATAAAAGTCTTGTGCTTATACTTATGACGACATTAAAGAAACATCTTACCATCCATGTTTTAAAGGAGTAGTTCACTTTAAAAAAAAACTTTTGCTGATAATTTACTCACCCCCATGTCATCCAAGATGTCCACGTCTTTCTTTCTTCAGTCGAAAAAAAATTAAGGTTTTTGATGAAAACATTCCAGGATTTTTCTCCATATAATGGACTTTAATGGGAACCAAACGGTTCAAGGTCCAAAAGACAGTTTCAGTGTAAACTGCAAACTGTTCAAAGGGCTTTAAACAATTCCAGACGATGATTAAGGGTCTTATCAAGCGAAAAAAAATCGCTCATTTAATAAATAAATAACAATTAAGTTGTATAAGCTCAAATGCTCGCCTTGCTCTGTTCTGTGATGCGCGTTTGTGACTCTCCTGTTCTAATTCGTTCATCAAAATGAACAAATCTTTTCCTGAGTCAACACGTTCATTTCGTTCGTTGAATGAATTAAATGACATGAAAAAAGATTTGTTCATTGATAAACGAGTTCAAACAGGAGAGTCACACAGAACAGAGCAAGGTGACCATTTGAGCTTATAAAACTTAAACTTTGGGGGGTTTTTTAGTTTTTTTTTAATGAGCGATCATTTCGCTTGATAAGACCGTTATTCATCGTCTGGAATCGTTTAAAGCCCTTTGAACAGTTTACAGTTTGCACTGAAAGTGTCTTTTGGACCTTGAACCGTTTGGTTCCCATTGAAGTCCATTATATGGAGAAAAATGCTGGAAAGTTTTCATCAAAAACCTGAATTTCTTTTCGACTGTAGAAAGAAAGACATGGACATCTTGGATGACATGGGGGTGAGTAAATTATCAGCAAAAGTTTTATCAGCAAAACTACTTCTTTAACTTTATTCTTTATGGGAGCTGGGAGTGAGGGGATTGTGGGATTGAAAAACCTTCATGCAAAAGAGAAGTGCAAAAATGCTGTACGGCAGCCAATCACTGTGGGGCGAAAGCAGTGATTTTCATTATCGGCCAACAGTTTCTGGTACTGAAATCATTATTATTTCATTTAATTCAGATTTCAAATGCACTGTACACCCTAAAGTGTTTTAAGCCATACAAATGTAACAAGTAAATGAAATAAGCACAAATATTAGACCACGTCAAAACACCACCAGTGCCCAGAAAACACCTCAAACCCCACAGGGTTAAAATATATACTATTTTCCAATTGTATGTACGCAGGTAGATTGAGCTTGAAAACAATTATAGACCTGAACTGGGCTGATTTTGGTCCAAGAAACCTTGGCTTGCATAAAAAGAGATCAGGGGAAAACCACTAAATCGAACAAAACGACCACTTTAAATAGAAAAATGCCTCTGAATTGCTTGAACAGCCGAAGTCAGTTGAATGAAGCGCTTGAAGAACTAATCTGTTGTTTGCCAATAATCCCGAACCTGTCAGACAATATATCTCTGTCCCTTTGTCTCTTGTGTTCTTTCTCTCTCTGACAGGATGCTGAGCTCAGCATTTCTTTATGACATTGTATCCCTTTTTCCAGGTGAGGAGTGTGTGTGTGTGGGGGGGGGGGCATCAGCAACTATCGATCCATTCAATCAGCGTCGCAGCACGTAGAAAAACGACAGGCGTAGTCGAGATCGTTCAGAGCGCTCCTCACCCGTGACAGCGGAGACAATGAGACGATGCGGTGAAAGACGGGACACTCTGCCTCGTACACTCTGATTAACGGCCAAAAGGGAAAAACACTGATAATAAGGGAGAAGAGAATACCTTTTCTTTGTCTCTCATGGATCCCTTGCCGAGGATGGACATCTTGGTCAGCGTGTCCTCTTGTAGTCTCTTTAATGAGTTCCCTCGAGGGCCCAGGAGTTTACCCACAAAATTAAACTAATAAAGAGGGAAAAAACAGAGAGTTTTACTAACACTGCATTGTACTGTCTTCTAATATTACTATATATATATCAGTTATGCAGAAATACATGATAAATATTTCCGCTGCAAAAGTAGTTAAATGTTTATCAAACCCACACACTGGCATTTTTTTTTTTTTTTTTTGCCCACATCAACCAATTAAACTGCAGCACTTTCCTTTCCGTTACCATTGATCCCCCCTTTTTTTACTGGTTATGTATGCTTCAATGATCAAATATTTATGTCTTTGTTCAAAATTCGCATTAATATTTTACAAATTATGTTTTTTTATATATAGAATTAGCTAGTTGCTAAATATATAAATATATATATATATGAAGAGTTCAGATGCAAAAGCCTCTAAATGCCATTTGAAATTTTCTTCTTGAATGATGATTTTTATCAAGCTTGTATATTTAAGTTCAGTAATTTCACTTAAATAACAATTAATAGGTAATTATCATTGCCATTTAAGTGAAATCACTTAAACTTAAATATACAAGCTTGATAAAAATTATAATTCTGGAAGAAAATTTCAAATGGCACTTAGAGGCTTTTGCATCTGAACTCTTCATATATATATATATATATATATATATATATATATATATATACAGTATATATACACATATATATACATACATAATATATATATATATATATATATATATATATATATATATATTACATACAGTTGTGCCCAGAATTAATCATACCCCTGGTAAATACAATAAAAAATGGCTGTAAAAATAAATCTGCGTTGTTTATCCTTTTGATCTTTCATTCAAAAAATTGGCAAAAATCTAACCTTCCTGTGAAGTAAAAGAATTGAAAATGGGTGAGAAATCAAATTATAAAATAAATGTTTTTCTCCAAAACACGTTGGCCACAATTATTCAAACCCCTATAATTTTTTATGAATAAAATGTATATGAAGTATTTTCCCATTAATATTTACCTTTTTAGCACACCAGGGTGACTATGAACATGAAATTGTCCAGCTATGACTTCTTGTTTCACATGAGTTTAAATATGAGGAAGCACAAAGGCCAAATTTCCTGAATCATCCATCACAATGAGTAAAACCAAAGAACATCACTCTTAGAAGAAATGGTTCTATTTAGAACCAGAAATTGTTCCACCCCCCGCTTCATATATGGAACTCCAAAATGGTTCTATACAGAACCATTTTTTTTGGTAACAGGTTCTATTGGCCAAGTATGGAACCCCAGGGTTCTATATACCCAGAGGAACCCTTTTTTTAAGAGTGTTCCAAATATGTAATGCTGATAGAACCTTTTAAGGTTCTATATAGAACATTTCCTTCTAAGAGTGTGATGTGCATCAAAAGATTGTTGAGCTTTACAATATAGAAAGTGGATGTGAGAAAATAGCTAAAGAATTGAAAATTCCCATTTTGACCATCGGGGCAATAATTAAGAAGTTATAATCGATTTTGACATTTCTTTTTTATAATTAATAGTTTTAAATTACCGTGAGGGGACAAAACCACAGTTTCTCTTGACACAACTGCATCTGTAAAAGATGCTTTACTGAATCAAAAGAGACTCGAGATCTAAAACACACACCAGTGTTGTGTCACTTTCAGATGGATACCGGTGGCGAGGATCAAAGAAACAAGCGAGAGAATAAAGAGAAAGAAAGGAAGAAGAAACATCCCAGAGAGACCAAAGGATGACAAAAGAAAGAGGAAGCGTATAGGCCGGGGAGGCGAGACGGTTTCTTGTTTCGGATGTTCTTGTTAAACCACTTCATCTGCGCCTGCTGTCTAGGCTTGTTAGCGATCTCAGCGCTGAACCTGGAGCGGGAGATCAAATCCTGCCACCCATGAAGACCTCAGACAAAGTCTAGTGACAACCCACAGCAACACAAAGGCTTGACTGAATCTGCTGGTTAAATGCGATTCCCAGAATTAGCAGAAAGAGCGGAGAGGCTGCACTCGACTACATACTAAAAGCATGCACTTCACTAAACACTTATGAGTTCATACGCATGGAATGCATTTGACATTTCCAACAGACAAACTATTTCTATCCGAGCATCTCTGGCATACGACATTCAGCTTTTACTGCTTTGAAGAGTTTATCTAAAGAGATATTATTGACATACTGTGCAGTTCAGAACTATACAATAAATATATACAGAAATCTAAAGGAGTAGTTCACTTTTGAAAAAAAACTTTTGCTGATAATTTACTCACCCCCATGTCAAAAAAGAAATTAAGATTTTTGATGAAAACATTCCAGGTTTTTTCTCCATATAATGGACTTCAGTGGGAACCAAACGGTTCAAGGTCCAAAAGACAGTTTCAGTGCAAACTGCAAATTGTTCAAAGGGCTTTAAACGATTTCAGACGATGAATAAGGGTCTTATCAAGTGAAACGATCGCTCATTAAAAAAAAAAAAAAAAAAAAGTTTGAGTTTTATAAGCTCAAATGGTCTGCTTGCTCTGTTCTGTGATGCGCGTTCGTGACTCATCAAAATGAACGAATCTTTTCCCGGGTCAACTCATTCATTTCGTTCGTTGAATGAACCAAATGACACGAATAAATATTCCATTTTGATGAACGAGTTCGAACAGAAGAGTCACAAACGAGCATCACAGAACAGAGCAAGGTGGCCATTTGAGCTTATAAAACTTATAAAAACTTATAAAACTTTGTTGTTGTTTTTTTTAAATGTGCGATCGTTTCCCTTGATAAGACCCTTATTCATCGTCTGAAATCATTTAAAGTCATTTGAACAGTTTACAGTTTGCACTGACTTTTGGACCTTGAACTGTTTGGTCCCCATTGAAGTCCATTATATGGAGAAAATCCTAGAATGTTTTCATCAAAAACCTTAATTTCTTTTCGACTGAAGAAAGAAAGACATGGATATCTTGGATGACAGGGGGGTGAGTAAATTATCAGCAAAAGTTTTTTTTTTTTTTTTTTTTAAAGTGAACTACTCCTTTAATGTTTAACTAGGAAGTGGTTATGTTAAATGCTTCTATTTTGTACAAAATATCGCACTTGTGGTGTTCCCGAAATGCTCAAAAATGAACAGCCTATACAAAAAAATAGCGTATAAATCTCGCATTATGCTATATTATCACCTAATATTGGGTTCAATCTTTTGGTCAACTTGTTTTCTTACAGTTGGGACACGTTTTGTATTTATTTTTTTAAACTGGTAATTGGAATTTTGAGAAATAGTTATAACCCAGTTTGAGTCAAAGTCAGTACGTTTTTGTCCAATGAGATAACATTAACATTTTGACCGCATGCGTCAAAATGACCCGAACACAACAGGAGCGTTAATGAGAAATGTTTGAGTCCTATAAATGTAGACTTCGGTATCTTGCCAAGTCTTCACATAAGTCTTTGCATCCATTTTCTATAAACATAATCTCATTTCTCTCTGTTAAAAAGACTTTTTTCCATTGCATTGGGAACACACTTTGATTTGAGATGCACTAATCCTCATACTTTGGGACATAATAATCTCACACTTTGTAGTTCTGATAGTATGTATGCAAATTAGGATAGAGCTGATGACGATGTCACTAGGGACACTGTAAAGAGGTCATGACCTTTGATTCAAACCACTACTGAATCTATGATGACAGCACGATCTTTTGCATATGCCACATTTCCATGTACTTTATAAGAAACATTAAATGGAACCAGCAGTATATCAAATATACCGTATATTACTGCTTTATGCTCCCATTTAGTGTCAGTAAGTGGGTGTGGGATTTTAAGAGCGCGGTTTGTTCTGCTGCGTCGATGCTTTCATTAGATGCCTGTTATTTACTGAGGCTTTTGTTTAGCAGCTCTTTAATGGTGTAATCTGATGATATTAAGGCTTGTAAATGACAGCGTGGGCCTTAATCTGGACATTAAACACAACACTGAGCTGCGTGAGGATTTACGGAAAGCTCTAAATCTCCTAAACGCACCCCAACACACACACACACCTTTCTTCAAAACGCACAAATATAGAAATGCTCAAATTGGCATGTCGTGTGTGTTTGCCCCTGAGAATGTACAACACATTCTCATCATATAGGTGACGCCATATGACATTTCGTCGAAATACTACGCACGTGGCGCCCTTTAGCGTCAATATAACACGCACTGTTATGGGTATGTTTAGGTCTGCGTCTCATATTGACGCTAAAGGATGCCAGTCACCTACAGTGTATGACGCCTTGGGTTCTGCGTGTTATATTGACGCTAAAGGGTGCCATGTGCGTAATATTTCGACGAAATGTCATATGGCGTCACCTATATGACACCAAAAGATGAGAACGGGCTCGAATGTACCATAAATTCCCTCAATCGATCGTTTAAATGATCAATTGATCGATATGACCTTAACCTCTTAAATCCTAAACGGGTCGTTATTAAGTTATCACGTTACGATTAGGGTTGGGTATCGAGAATCGAGTATCGATTGGAACCGATACTAACTTTTCGTTTTTCCCGGAATCGTTCAAAAGTTAAAATTTCGATTCCTAGTTTCGATTTTCACAGTCCGCTGAGCGGAAGAAGAAACCGCTGAACAACACCAACGAAGAAGCGTCTACCGGAAGTGTTGGCATAACCGCGCGAGTCGAACATGAGTAGCTTACGTCGGCGATCCAAAGTGAGGCTTCACTTTTCTAAAAATAACGAAATCTTGGCAAAATGCAAAATTTGTGACAAAAGGAGTATTTTTACAGAAGGAGTATTTCCTTCAGAAAGGCCGTTGGTTAGCAAGGTTAGCTAAACTTTTTTGACCCTGCCTCTTAAAAGAATCGGAATCGAGAATCGTTAGGAACCGGAATCGAAACAAGGAATCGGAATCGTTCGAATTCAAACGATACCCAACCCTAGTTACGATGACCACTTGCTTAACCAACATAAAATAAGTGTCGTTTTAAAACGTAGAAGCTTAGAATATAGGGAATATGACAATTACTTAACAAG